AAAGAGTACATATTTATTCATCTGTTTGCAGATGTTCCTTGTACAACTTTATAATCAAATAACGGGGACTGTGACATTTCATGTCTTTTTTAGTCAAATGCTGTATAGACACATATAAACAATTCTAAAATGCATGCTCTGTTTTTGAATGTAATTTTTTATTTTGTTGTTACAGCACAGGGACACACCAGAGAACAACCCAGGTACACCATTTAAATTCACACCAGAAAACCTCAAGGTATGTGTCGGCTCACATGAAAAATGATTATTTTTCTCATACCTGAAGTTCAAAAACAAGTCTTAATTGTCATGCACTTTTCAAATTTATATACAACACATATCCTGTGATATTATTTACATATAGACATATATGTTTCAGCAATAAGGAATGAAAACAGATTTGTCATAACTTAGAAATGTGTTTTGTTTACACATTATTCACTCAGCGTGTAAAAGATATTATTGGTAACTATCCTGAAGGACACCAAGCTGCTGCAGTTATCCCAGTGTTAGATCTTGCACAAAGACAACATGGTTGGCTACCAATATCAGCAATGCATGAAGTGGCTGGTATCCTTGAAATGTCTAAAATAAGAGTCTATGAAGTGGCTACTTTCTACACAATGTTTAACAGGTAAGGATTTGTTAAATCTGTGAGATTGAAACACCAGTACTGCAAATCACCTTGCAAAAGTAATCATGATTAGCAAAGTTGAAATTTGTGCACCAATTCATTTCTTCACTGGCACAATATCTTCATGTTCTTGTATACATTTTGTTGCTATTAAATTCATAATTGGTAAGTTGATCTTCAATTGCAGTTGGTCATTTTGGAATCATAGAAACTTAATAGCTGTACTTAATTTAATCATATCATATTGTGATATTTTTTTAACAGAGAACCAGTTGGTAAATATCATATTCAGATCTGTACAACTACACCATGTATGTTGCGGGATTCTGATGGTATTTTAGATGTCATCAAGAATAAATTAGGTAAGTATTTAGAATTGAAATAAATGATACCTCTATCATTTATAAAATTTCCACTGTATCCTTTGTTTTTATATACAAAGATTGCACAAGATGCTATGGCAATTCACCAAACGCAAAATTTATTGATAAGTTGTTATACAATCAATTTCACTAAATATTGTATTGTTAATATATAGAAGGCATGAAATTCTTGATAAAACTGACTTGGTGACTTAGTGTGGCTAAAAGGTGTAGAAGAGAACCAGTTTATTCATATATTAAAACATACATTTTGTCATATAATGTCCTGGATGTGAGTACTGTCATTCCTGTTTGTCTTCTTTTCATAACACTTCCTATTTCATTGATGCATATATAGTTTGATAGACCACAGGGAGCCCAGGAACTATGATCAACTGTATGTAGTCTCTTATGAGGGGGGGGGGGGGGGGGTGGTATCAGCTGGTATCTAGTGTAAGAAATAGATAAGGGATGAAGGCTCCAGTAAGCCCATATTTTTTAAACTGGAAAAAACAGACGAAAAAAATGGAATATAAAATCTATAAAAAAATACCCAGCTTGAAGAATATTGGTTGCTCTTTAAAATTTTGCCAACTACACAAACTAACTTCATTTATGAATGATTAACGGTTGCCCTGGGAGCACGGCACACCAAGTTTACCACTCGGTTACTCGTGATTGGTTCGCTGGAGCCTTCATCCCTTGTCTATTCTTTACACTAGATACCAGCCGATACCAGAAGTGAGTGCCTTGGAAAGGGCATTCTGCTTTGCTGAATTCTAGGTTACCGTACTTGACCGCGTTAGCGCCCAGGGGCCTCAACTCAGAAAGTCACAATTTTTTAGGGGTGGGTGCTTACCCGAGCACCCCCCTTGAAAAAGAGTGCAAATGAAAATTTTGATTCATCAAGTGACAAATTACATCTTTGAGGGAAAATCAAATTACTAAATTAGTTGCGTCATCATTGATTTTCACAATGAAGAAACAGAAATGATCACAAAAAATACGCACATTTTATTACAATATTAATTACGTACCACCATAATTTACTGAATTAAAAACATTTGAGTCTGTTGGAACACAGTCGAAGTCAAAATTGTCATATTATTTCCACCATGATGCATTTGCAGATTTGACCTACAGCAGCGTTCTTTGACCTAATGGGTCAAGTTGGTTATTAACTAATCAGAATGCTGTGTTTTGACTGACGCAATTCTTCGGAAATTCCCAAAGACTTTCCGGTAACGCAATGCGGAAGTGAATTATCAATGTAGAAGTACAATCTGTTGGAATTGATTTCAGCAAATAAACGACATGGTTTTTCCAAAAAAACTAGTAACTAGCCATTTGTGAGAGGTAAACTGAATATGGCATGAAATATTTATCGCATTTAACTTTTATTAACAGGTCATTGTCGAAGCGTAGTTTACACACGGTTACTGTATTCTACGCATTCACAACATGTTCACAGCAATCGATATCCACGCTGTATCATATAAAAACGATTACCAAGATTCGTTACGCAAGACCAAGTTTTAAATTAGTTGCATTTTAAAGGGGTGGGCGCTTTACCGAATGTGATCCCCAAATATAAAAATTGCGCAAAAGTGGGGGATGGGCGCTTGCCTGGGCATGGGCGCTAACGCGGTCGAGTACGGTAATAGTTTGAATAACATGTCAATTGTGATATTGCAGGTATTGGCGTTGGTGAGACTACCAAAGATAATATGTTTACCCTTGGTGAAGTAGAATGTCTTGGTGCCTGTGTTAATGCTCCTATGGTACAAATAAATGATAACTACTATGAAGATCTTACTACCAAAGATATGGAAGAAATCATAGACGATCTAAAAGCCAACAGAACTCCAAAAGCTGGGCCAAGGTATAAATACCAGTACACAATATGTATGCAAGCACACTTTTACTCAAAGTCAAAACTGTCAAGTGATCTATAAAAAAAGCTTTAAGGCTATATATAATATACAGTCTTGAGGGGACTGTATTTGATATGTCTATATTAAGGTTCCTGGATATTCAGATTTCCATGATTATTACACTATAGTATTATTTTATGGTGTTGTTCATAAAACTCACATAAAAACTTATTGTCATAGAACTACTTTTTGCTTAAAAGTGGCTAAATTGATTCCTATAGGGAAAAGATTTGTCGTATCTGAAAATATCGTCCAGTGTGGAAAAAATATAGTGACAAAAATAGCATGTTGATAAATTATTAGTAGAGTTTGAAAATATTTTTATTAATGAAATAATGCTTTTAAATGGATTCCTATGGAAATTGCACCTAAAATGCACATTTTTGGCTTTTTGTTGCGTATTGGGTAAAAACACTCAACACTCAAAAGACTATGACATATATCTTTATTTCATCCTATTTTGATAC